ATGAAAACCTTTAAGTCTTATAAATATTTCATGTTTCACTCTGAACAGACTAGAGCGTAATCTTCACGTACCAATATCTCTCGTTTATTATCACTGTAATTAGTGATAATATTCTTAGTTACTTGTTGCTTTTTAATACATACAATAATTGTGAATTATTGTAGCATGAAAAAAGATTGAAAAGACAACAGAGACTGATCAAACTAGAGAGAATACAAGAGAGAAATGGGAATAAGCCAGACCTTAAAAGCAAAGCATATATTCGTATTAAATTAGCCAGCATTAATTTACTGATGAGATTTCCTACCAACCAGCAGCTCTGCTGAGCCCAACAAAGTCTTCCCATATTTTTTAGCCCTTCAAGCAGAAGAATCTCAGGGGAATGCTGGTCAACTTGTATGTATGCCAACTCGTATGTGCCAACATACACCAACCAACTTGGACGGCCACCAACTCGTACGCCAAACTGTACATTCAGTTGACACATGTGAGGATAAGTGACACTCTGTTGTCCTTGCCCTCTTTACCCCAACTTAACACCCACCCAGTTCGGTTAGAAAATATTCGATGTTGTATATGTACTGATGATTTGACTTGTAACCTATCAATAAAAAGTTGCTTTGCCTAGTATTCATATTTCTTGACTATTGTATTTGTGAAATTTCATTTGCCAATGGCTATAAAATCTTGTACTATTCTTTGAAAACGGAGTGGTTCATTAATATGATATAATGCAACTTAATTTAATGCATCAAACAATTCGGTCAAAAGCACCAATTTCCAGTCATTTAACGTCTCAATGACCGATTTCAGATTAAAAACGATGGTTTGTTGATTTGTGGCTCACGAATAAGCTACCACACGGCGAGGTGGTCAACGTACACGTTGGTCGGCGGACAAGTTGACCAAAGTGCATACGAGTTAGTCTACAAGTTCGCATATGTACGAGTACACTGTAGCCTGAGTTGGTTCTTGTCAGTGAAATAGGCCTAACTAGGAACTTACAACCATGCATTGACCCAAATCCCCATCAGTTCAAAATAGCCACTCATGGGGGAGCTTGAGGACCCGTAACTCTGCAAAAATCGTCATCATCCACACGAGATTGGCAGATCAAGAAGGCGGTCAATGACTCCATGCCTTGATGCGGGCAGCTGTGGAGGAGATAATCCGCATTTGACAGGAAAACAGCCTGTGAAGAAGGGGCTACAGGTCTGGAACAAGTTGAGCGAGAAATTCAGATGCAGCGCCAGTCAGTTGAAGCTCGACTGGATGCAAACCTTCAAGATAGAGGACTGTAAACATACAACTCAAGGAATTGAAGATTCACTCGGAGACAGAATACTGCAACGGGAGCTTGCGAGGCAGCAAACTGCGACAGGAAAACATGTGAAACCACATGGGACTTTGGACTTCCACCTATGTCCCATGACATTATTACAACATGCAATGCTCATATGTAACCGTCACTCGGTTACACTTGCTGCGTCTTCTAATGTAACTAGTATGCATGACAAGTCCTCGTGTAGCACCGATAGTGCAATAATTGTGTTGTAGTTACATCCGTTCCAGTGTACAGCCAAATACACATGTAAATCTACATGTAGATCCACGTACAGTGATTACATTCACTGTGCCTGTTTTGCATGCATAGGAGCAGGTTTACCAGTACCACCCCTTCATATACACAAATGTCACTTATATGTAACTTATTTCCCAGTGAGGGTTCATGAGTTTCTGGGGTGGCCGCCACAAGTGCTGATCGAGTCCCAACCTCTGTTACTCCATGACAGTCTCCAGCCAGCGGGACTACTCAGCCAATATCGCCCACATTTCATCGGCCAAGGCTGATTGACAAATTCCATCAATCCATCTGATAAATCCAGCAATAACGATGAAGCTGCAGTCAAAGAGAAGATTTATGGTCAAAGGTCGAGAACTCAGTAGGCAAATTGCCAGTTAAGGCTGACATACCTACAAAGGCATGGTGTATTCCTTGACAGTTTGCCTAAGCTGCGCATCCCCAAATTTGAAGTTGAACATGACAAAAAGCAGTGTATTGGTATTGGCTATTCTGGTGTTGACGGCATCAAAGTTCAACTTTGAGCTTAAGCACCGTCACTATGCAGCTGGTCTGGTTAGGAAACGTTCTGACCTCCTTCTGACAGAATTCCTCTCCAATCATGTGGCAGAAAGGTCAAGGGCACCAATATACCATCAAGCACTAGAGTAAATAGCTATATGAGAGGAAGACTGGCCCAGATCGACGGATCCTGTTGGAGAAGTCTAACCAGGGGAAGACCAGAAAGATCTTGTCAATCCGGAAAGGCAAGAACCATGTCCAGAAGCACCCACCGTGCACCACAGAAGTCTACAAGAGAACAACCGCCACCAGCTCAAAGCTACCTGGCAAGTACTCGGTTGGACACTTAGGAGTCAACGGTGATCCTTACCAATGGTGTCAAAGAGGCTAATGCTGCATCAAAAGATAGAAAAGGAAAAACGTTGACTCTGAGGGTAACCTACCTGCACATTCAGAAGAATGAGACTTGGCATTTCTAAGACATCTGTGCTGAATTCCTGAAGTGGAATGCCGAGAAGAAGTTTAAATAAATAGCTCTTGACGACGAGCGATATGTTTCAAGTGCGCCAAGAGGTACGGTGGGGATACGTCCATTCCTGAAGCAATGCAACAAGTGCCAAGGAGATCACCGTTCTAGCCCCAACGACTAGGCAAGCCACCGCCAAAGACCCGAGCACAGTCCTTTCCTGTGGGGTGGGGACAAAGCCAACGGTGGACAACGAGTCAACCCGTCCTTATTAAAGTCAGCCCCTTGACTGTACATGGCACAAATGGGACGATTGAGACATACGATACAATCAATTTGAAGGGCGCATGCTCGTTCTCCAGAGTTCAACAGAGAAACATCAGATAATTAACCAATTGGAATCCCTTCAAGCTGAAACTGTAAATGGGGATGCAGTCCAGAACGAACTTCAGCGCCCCACGCAGGGAGATCATGAACGGGAGATATCACACTGAGAGTGCCTTTGCTGCAAATGATATTTCGTTCGTCGTGTGTCGGCAGACGAGCTGCAAGAAAAATGGCTGCATCTAAGAGGCTTACCACTCCTCTCCGCAAGAAACGTCCAACCAGTATAACTAATAGGGGCAGACTGCATCGCGTCGGCACTGCCTAGTGAAGCTTAAAGGAGCCCCAAACAACATCTCTCCTGCGGCTGTCAGCACGATATTTGGATGGACAGTCCGAAATCTGGATACGCCACAGGACTGATACCGCATGCAATGGGAGCACATTACACCTAAAATGAAGCTTATAGGTCGTCGTTCTAACCAATTTTCAGCGGTCGGCGCGCCTATGATGTGCGGGACCGGAAACCTGTAATGTGCCATTGGAGAAGTTGACGTGCTAAGCGCCCACGTGCGCAGTGGGTGGGGCTCACTAGATCGGCGTACTTTACGTCTGTGAAAAAAGAATAGACAGACTTTCTCTAGTCTCCTCACAGTTTGCGGCCTTTAGCACGAGTTGAATATTGCTCTGTCTTTATAGTTTTCCACTGAATTGTCATTGGTGCTTTGGGCGGGTTGTAAAATCTCTGAGTTACACAGGTTGTTTGCGTCGGTATCTGCCTCGCCCACTATACAAGTTCGTGATGGACATTCATTCGTTTCATTACTTTACTTGTAGGTTTACATACGTGATCGTAACTCATTTTCCAGTCATCTTTTGACAAGGCATGCACTAAAAGTTTAGGCAAACCGCGCATGCTGTCTGCCTGAATGCGTCTTTCTATCTGTTTTTACATTGTGTTTTCTGTGCGAGTTGTAATATTTGCTGAAGTTATAAACAATATCCATTTGAATGTGCATAAGTGAATCACGGTAAACGGAAGCTTATACCGATGGAACAAGAAATAGACTAGTTTCCCATTGTAACAATAGCAGTGTCGACAGGAAGACGTCCACTAAAACAATGCCAGGATGTCCTTTCTGTATTTTTAAATTCGATGCACGTCGATGCACGCCATGTGGTATACGTTACACATAACGTGTCACGTCGACGCGTTCCTGCAACATCCCCAACTTTCACCCACAATGCACCGCGGTAAACACTGCATTACGTCATTATGTTGTAGGTCTATTGTGATAGATGTGGGAAAATATGCAAAGCAATTTGTACATGTTCACTGTTCGCTATTTAAATGGTGATGACTCTAGGACCCGAAAATCCACGAGACTTTGGTCTTGTATCGGCTCTTCCACCTACGCGCTATAACAAGACTAAGGTGTATGTTCTGGGGCCGTTTGAATCAAAACGAGCAGACCCATCGCTGTGGTGTCCTATATCGGCCGCCATAGCATAACTGCTCCGCCGGCAGATCACTGATTGCTTCAGTTCCATCAATGCCTAAAGAGGGCGCTTCGTGCAAAAGTGATGCCAAAACGTTGGAAGAATAACACGAGATGGCAAACTTTCAGTGGCCTTGGCAGTATGAATTTCCCCCATTTTTTACGTAAGTATTGTAGTCATTTTGGTCGCCTAAACTAATTGAAATGACTTATTGCAGAAAGGTATTGCAGTGGTTGAAGTGGGAGACCGGGAGACATGCAGACGGGATCGCAAATGGCTAGCCCCACTAGTGTGGCACGGACTCTCACTCCTGATCCATCCTTAGCCACACATCCGTATACGCAATTTCGTGTCGGCGTATTGAACATTTCAGCGCACCCACTTATCGTGGGCGCAATTTCTTTTGCACACGAACATGATTCTTGACCTTTCCGCTTTCTAAACACCATTTATTGAATGATTTCACTCACGTTATTCAGGTATTTTCCAGTCTTTTTGCCAATATCCATTCAATCTAATGAGCTCGCTCGCTCAGTCACCATCTTTAAAATAAGATCGTTGAACAAAATGTCACTTGACCCATCATCGTCTCGACGGCTGTTCCATATCAAGACATATGTAATAAACGGACTGGTCGATAAGATACTACATGTACCAATGGGCTCTTCCAAAACTTTGGCAGCAGTTTAGATGTCTTGACATGGAAGAGCCGTCAAGACAATGAGGGGTCAAGTGACGTAATGTGACATTTCGGCAGTCATAACCAAGCAAGAACTGCTTCGGTTGTAGTTATTCTTTGAGATACAGCCCAAAACTCCAAGATTGGAAGACAGAATTACAGTCTCTTATGCACAGATGCCAGCAGCTGTATACCAGTGTACTCATGGTACTGCAGCGTCACCACCTCTCTCAGTGGTCGAGTTGTCCCAAGTCAAGTTGGTAAACGTTTGGGTTGTTCAACATCCGTCACGTAAACCGATGGCGCACACACCTGAGGCTGGATGATGCAAAAAATCGTGCCGGCACTTTAGAGCTCTACGGGAGATCTACATGTATGAGGGCATTTTCTCGATATGTTTGTCAAATCTGATCCTTGAACATGTCAAAAAAGAAAAAAACAAGAAAGTGACAAATGAATTGCAAAAATGAAGGTACGAGTGGTCTTAACTCGAGGTACGAGTTGACTCGAAAGCATCTGCATAATAAACATCCATCATGTTCTTTCTTGGGTGGTAATGAATAATGTTTTATGTGGGAATACAACCAGGTCATTAACACCATTTAAGATAGTGTTGTACAGTGGAACACTGTTTTAACAAGGTCCTTGGGATTTGAAAAAATTAACTTGTTAATAGTTACCTAAAGTGTCACTCTGTATGTGTAATGTCTGTGACCTGATGAGGAGCAATAGGGACTTGCTTACTATTGCGGTCACGAATGTTAAGTAGTGGCCAGGCCCCTTTTAATGTGAAATCCAACCTGCCAACCAAATGTTAGGCCTGACATCACAAGTTGAACCTTGCTCTATGGTTCACCCATGTTTGAAATGACATTATTTTTATTTCATAATTTTTTGATATGTGATTTTCTCACAAATGTATAGCAAACAGATTCAGGAAAGTCTCAGGACACCTTGTTAATTATAAGAGTCTTTTCAGATATTGGAAGTTTTTCGTACATACGCATGTAATTATATATCTTCCTGCGTGATGCTCTGTATTTTGTCCTTTTACTTTTTATTTATGCTTTCTCAGGTTACAGCCCAACTTGGAGACAAGGAAGAAGCAGTTGGCAGCATGGTGTGACCTGGTCCTAGCCTACCACAAACATCACAAGATCTTCAATCTAGATGTCAAAGAAATCCAGTCTTCATCACTCTTCAAGAATGCAAAGATAGACCGTATCCTTAACCTAAGGTCACTGTTTTCTTGGTTGAATTTATTAGTAGTTGGTAGGTCTTTGCCTACACTGTCATTCAGAACCTAAGTTCAACATCTACTTAATTACACTCATGCAGTACAAGTTGCAAACTTTTCAACTTTCCCTAAAATCATTGTGCAGGAGGTTGGCCATTGTCTTTGTAATTAAACTCTAAAGATGCAGAGTGCAGGGGGTAATTTGGGCTTGGTCTAAATTTAGATTGCTGCAGAATTCTAAAAATCCTACAGAAACCTAGTTTAAAAAATCAGTTGTAACAAATGAAATAGTACCTGATACAACCATCCAATAAATTTCTCTACCCAAGCCCATGCAATAAAGGAAATAGGCATTTTTTTGTTTTTGGTTTGCCAAATTGAATGTGAAATTTACTTTTTGGCTAGTTAGAGATAATGTTATTTGACTTGTAAACAAAACAACCGTACACTTGTACTTGGATCAAATAATTTGTAGTTTCCTTAACTGTCACAGGAAAACTTTCCATAGATGCAATTTATACCATTCTAGAAGAACTTGGGGCCAAAGGTGAGTCCTTTCACAAATGAAACCCCCCTATCATTTTAAAAAGTAAATTTCTATCCTTGATGAGCTAGGTCGGTATTTTAGAAAAGTAGGGTCATTTTGGAACAAAGCACGTGCGCGTTTCGGCATAGGGCCAGTTAATAGGGCAGACTTCACACGCATATCCAAATGACTTCTGACACGGTCCGTTTTGGGCATGTGCTGTTGGGATACCGAACTGACTCATTGGGAATGCCAGCCTTTCATGTTGGCTTAATCAGCACTTTAAACTTGGATTTTGCAGCTCTATGGGTGTTTTCAAAACAGGTGGATTTGGCTTAGACTTCAGTTTCGCTGTTCCAGCCATTTTGAAGCATCTTTGGAAACCACATGTTCAAGCTCTGACTGGAACAAGCGAAACTGAAGTCTAAGCCGAATCCACATGTTCAAAAATGCCCTCTCAAAACATCCAAGGCTGTCTCAAATTCTTCAGAAACTGGATGCTTCAAGGCTAGGTATAATTACCAGATGGTGTCCTTTATTTGAGTGATATCAATTAACCCCTTCACGGCGGGATTATTTTGACCGTGACTGCTGGGCTGTGGTATGCCTTGAATGGCGGGCTTTGTCCAGCAGCAGGCCCCATTGGACCAGCAGCTGCAGGATGAATAGACTGTATGCACTAATTCTCGCACAATGGTGCGGCAGTAGCAGTCCTCCGTAGCGAAGGGGTTAAAAATGTTTCTTGTTGCAGGACATATAGAATGGACTGACAAGACGAGGACACAGTGTCTTGTCATGTGGAGAACTCCTGAAGAGTGGGGCAACCTTATTTATAGATGGGTAAGGATTGTGCTCACTGTTCTCCTTCCCCGAACCTCTTTTCACAGTTATGTATCTTCCAGCCCTACATTTGAAAGTATCAGCAGCAGTTCTGGTTCCAGCTTAGTCCTAAAAAACAAAAGTGGCAAGGATACCTTTGCAAGTCAGACACAAAGCATTCCTTTGATAACATATTCCTTGCTGTCACGGGGGTTGACTCACTGGTAGCAGGACCTGCATCATGTGCAACAGCCCAGTTGGCGCTGATCTGTTTATCTGTGCCACGGTCAGTGTACTTGTAGTTCTTGGATGGAACAGTCTTTCTGGCAATATGAAGTAGGTATTTGCTACAAATTAAACAACGTCACACTTTTATGTCATTTCATATACGAGTACCGAATTCTCATTAACTGTTCCCTGTATGATTGAACTTCTTGCGGCTCCCTGGGATGGGGTGTTGTTGGTATGATCCAGTCTCATCTTGTGGAGATTTACTGTCTGCTTCCCTGTGGTGATCATTGGACCGTAGGCCTCTACTGGCTTCATAGGAAAGTAAACAAAGTGTGGCGTCATTAGTGCAAATGTGTACATGTATGGATATTTCAAAACAGTTCATCTGTATGGAAGCCAAGATAAGTGATGCGGTGGGGGGAATTGAGGTCACTGCAGCACCCAGTGGTATAATAGCATGCCTCAGAATTTTGCTCCGAATTCTTTGACAAACTTTATGATTTTTCTTTTCAATTTTGACGCTTTCTATTCAACAGAACTTGATTTTTTGGGGGCTTAACTGTCATTTCCTTTCAATAGGCGGCCAGTAATGGTATGACAAATTCTGTCTGTACCCTGTACGAACTAACCCACGGGGATGACACGAAGCAAGAAGGTGAGCACATTTGCGTAGCAGTCCTCATTTCAGATTTTTGCAGGAGAGAGTTCGTTACTCACTTCGATACAGTGATTTTTCCAAAAGAAACAAAAATCATATATGCAAAAAAGACTCTCAGCAAGTGTCGTCAAGAATTATAGCTTGATAAATCCCTTCCATGTGCTTGGCGGATCACTGATGAAGTAAGTGCCCTCGTTAAAACCTCAAGTTACATCCGATTGGTAGATTAGGGATGAAGTAGATGCCCTCGAGGTAAAACTTCAAGTTACCCTATAAAAGCCTGTTTACACAACCTCAAGATGAGCCTGAAGTTACCCAGTTTAATTTTGCATTCTGCTGTAAGTCAACTGACAGGGAGGGAGCAAGGGCTATTCTCGGTCACACCCTCCACCAACTTCCACTAAACTTCTGTGCAAAAGTCTAAGTATTTGGCAGGTATGGTAAAGGATAACCATCCACTGTTTTAAAGGCGTGTCCGAATTAATGTTGGCTACAGCCAGTTATGAAACACTCATGAATAGCAAATTGACGTAGTTCCTGACTTGTGACTTCATAGGTACACAAATAATTTCAAACTGTATTCAGGTTACTCAGACGCTGCCTATCTAATTATTTGTTTTCTCCCCAGAGTTCTATGGTCTGGATGACTGGCTCTTGAAAAGGGCATTGAGGACACTAGAAAAACAGAGGAAAGCCGAAGTCATGTCATTTGGCACGAGCGAAGGTGTCAAGTTCTTTTGATCTGTACTACATAATTTGAGAGGCCATATTGCCAAAGATGTGCAGTGTATAGACAGTGCAGTGGCTTAAGTACACAGTTAACCATCCCAGGAGTGAGGTGGGATGAGAACTTCTCAGTAATGAGTCGTAAATCTGAAGCTGAGCCAAGGCACAATTCGCTGATGCAAAGCCTTTGTAAACCTCTGGGCACCTTGCTCACGC